ATAGATAGATAGATAGATAGATAGATAGATAGATAGATAGATAGATGATAGATAGATAGATAGATAGATAGATAGATAGATAGATAGATAGATAGATAGATAGATAGATAGATAGATAGATAGATAGATAGATAGATAGATAGATAGATAGATAGATAGATAGATAGATAGATAGATAGATAGATAGATAAAGTTTTAATTAAACCTGCTGCTAAAGAAGCTGAACATGACAAATTGTGAAGTACTTTCAAAAATGACAAAATGAAATGGTAATCTCACTACAAATAAAACAAATAAAGTGTTAAACACTCATTTATCCTGCATTCATCTTGTTTTAAACAAGCTAATGCTTTTTGTTTGATCATAAAGGAAGACGAAAAAGAAAATGTACTTGTCAAACTTAAGTAAATCATCATTAAGTTGTGTATAATGAGGTTTGTATTTAAGTGTTTATCAAACATGAGAGGAACAAGTCTACATGAGGATGAAAATACTCAAGCTGTGAACCATTATTTGACTACTTCAATCTTTTTATAGCCTGAGGGTAAAGCTGAGCCTGACACTTGCTGATCCTTCATTTAAGTGCACAAACATGATTTGCATCTTGTTCAAGATGAAACTTTTTTTTTGGTAAGGTCTCAGAGTATAAACTAATTTTGAGTGAATATGAGACATGTGTGCATATAAGTTGTACCAGACTTGAGTAGCATGCAAAACAATTATACAGTAGTGCACCTGAGATACCAAGATGAGACACTTTTTTTTTTTTCTCTCTCTCTCATTAAACCTTTGGAGTTAAGTGACAGTGATTTACTTTGATTCAAAAGCCATTCACCAACTATGAGAAATAATTTACAGCCTCAAATAGCTCAAGGGTGTGAGTCAAAAGGTTTAAATCCATCCGTAATGGTGAAACTTACTGAACCTGGAAGTAGCACATAAAATATAAGAGTCGAGTTCATTAAATGATCAATTCAGCAAGGATGAGATGTGTGTTGTCAGTGACCTTTTAGAGGGCTACAATGTGTCTTCAAAACTGCCTTCAGTTTGTCTTGGAGCAGATGAAACGTGTGTGAGAATGAAAATTAGTCCTTGACTGACTGATGCTTTATCTTAGATTGTTAAACCATTAGGTCTAAGTAAATATTCTACAGCTAATTCTTCAAGCTAGTTTTTCCAAATTCTTATTCTTTATTTGTGTTGTTGATTTTTTTATATATATTTTTTTTTATTATTGTTGCTCATGATTCTTATTTTTGATAAATGTGAGTCATTTGGATTAATATCAAAATTCATCCTCAATAATCCAAGTAAAAAAATCCAACAATGTTCAGTCAGGTCATCTGGACGTTTTTTTTTTGTTTTTTTTTTGGTGAGACATTTCATCCTTCATCCAAAGGACTTCATCAGTTCGAGGAGCCACAAAAAACTCAGTCTCACAAGCAGCACACTCACATAGTGGGTCAACCAGTCCAGAAGTAAATGTAGAAACCAGGCAGAAACCATCCAGAGAACCTGACTGAGCTTTGTTGGGTTTTCTACCTGGGCTGTTGAGCATGAACTTTGATGTTTTGAACCACTTTGTCGATGGCTGCCTCAGAAGAGTCAGCGGCCCCAGAAACCATCTTATCACCAGCAAACTGGTTGGACCACTATGGGAGTGTACTGCTTGTGGGACTACGTTTGTTGTGGCTCCTTAGACTGATGAAGTCCTTTGGATGAAGCATGAAATGTCTCAACAAATATAAATTAATCAACTTGTTACTGGTCAGTGAGCTGACCTGGTGTCCCAATTTTAACAAAAGAGCAAAATGAGCAAATGTAGTAAGGTGAGGAAAAGCATCACCCTTTTCTCTCTCACTAACACTCGCTACATGGGACTTTAACAGAAAAGTAACTTAAATGAGACAAGGAACAGATCTGTACTCTTAAAGTATAAATACACTTCAAACTTCTCAAAAATGGAGTAGACTGTGCAACAAAAAAAGAGCAAAATGCACACAAATCTGTATTCATGCAGGCAAGCTGGTGCAAATATAGTTGCTCTTGCATAAATTGACTTGTTTGGTTGTGTTCAGATGCTTTTTGCCTGTTATATTTATCAAGCATGAGCTGAGGAGTAATAATGAGCTGATTGAAGTGGATAGCTGACAGCATAATATTAGCCTAGAGGATAACATAACAACTTTAGAATGTCAAGAATGGTAATTAAGATGTGGAAAGAGGGACAGAAGGAGTACATTTTAAAGAGAACACAAAGCAAGCCAATGAAAAATACATTAATGATAAATAAAAGGCATGGCGATGAGGTGGCTACTTGGAAAAACTAAAGTTTTGGATGATTAGGCTCTTTTTCCCTGAAACTTCTGGAAAAAATGAACATGAAGTATTTGAATGATTAGTGCTCATTGTGTTACTTTAATTTACTGAAGATACGTGTACTGATGTTTCAGCTTCGCATGTGCGTGCAACGCTCGTGATCCAAGTGGGTCCATTACAAACCTGTG